AGAGCCCAAAAAGCCAAAAAAAAAAAAAAAAAAAAAAAAAAAAAAGCCCCATCTGCCCATCCCATCCTACTCAACACAGCCTAAGCAGAACTGCCCTTGGGGGTTGTCTCTGGACATAAGGCCCTGGCCCTTTCAGGTAGCTATTGACAGGTGGGGAGGAGATGGGTAGGCAGCTGGGCATGTTTAGAAAGCCTTGTGTCTCCTGTAACATGGCAGGGTCTGTTCCAGCTGCTGACCCCTTCCTTTCACGCTACCCTTTCCCCATCCTCTTTCTGATGACTTTTTTTTTTCCTTCAGCGATACCTGATTGGTACTATCAGAATGGGGGCCCATCCTCTGGTGGGTGCTGGCTTGGGGGCCCCTGGCCTACGGGTGGGTGGGAAGACCACCTGAAAGAAGACTCAGCTTTCTTAGCTGTCTGGGAAGAAGGGGGCACCAGGCCCTGCCAGCCCAGAAAGGGAGCCCCGTGAGGCATGACCGCAAGTAGGTGTGAGCACCAACCCCCTCCTCCATCCTCTCTCTCTGAGCAGACAGACAGGGATGGGGCTGACTGCACTGGTGGGCCGACTGGGGGGCTCTTTGGCCCCACTGGCAGCCTTGCTGGACGGAGTATGGCTGTCACTGCCCAAGCTCGCTTATGGGGGGATCGCCCTGCTGGCTGCCGGCACTGCCCTCCTGCTACCAGAGACAAAGCAGGCACAACTACCAGAGACCATCCAAGACGTGGAGAGGAAGAGGTGTGTGCACAGGACTGTGTCTGTGTGAGCACAGGCATGTGGGTATGGGTGCTCAAGGTACCTGACACCTTAGGTAAGATTCAGAGAGGAAGACATGTCTGCACATGTGTGTCTGGTGCATGTATGCAAGTGTGCATGGGTGTGTGACCTGAGGTATGTAAACTGCGTGTATAGAAGTGTACATGAGTCCATACCTGTGTGTGTGTCCAAGAAGAAGAGGATGTGTACACACACTCAGGTATGCCTACATGTCAGGGATGTGTCAAGCATGTGTGGGAGTCACTTGTGGGAGTACATGTGTTTGTATATCAAGAGCTGGGGGGAGCCCTAGGCCAGCCCTATGGGGCAGGCTGGGGAGGTAGGCTGGGAGGATAAACCCCACCATTGCTCATGACTCCTTCCTCCTCAGTGCCCCATCCAACCCTCAGGAGGAAGAGATGCCCATGAAGCAGGTCCAGGACTGAATGGAATCAGGGGCAGGCCCTCCATGGAAGTTCTGCAGCAGGGGCTGGGAGAACAGAAGGGCAGGCCCTCTGACCAGGGCTGGGGGCAGTGAGCCCCCTGTCCAGGGCTGGAGTTGCCCCCTCTCTGTGCTCATCCGGCCTTGACTATTTGGCCTCCAGCAGCAGAGCAACTTCCCAGAAAGCAGTGGGCTGCTGAGAATTCTGGCACCCCTCTCATGGCTGGGGGGATTCTGTAAATAAAGGTGCCCCTTGGGTTAGGGCAACAGTGAGGAGCTGTGGGATGAGCCCTGGATGGGAAGCCACTGAGTCTGGCCCTGGGTTCTGGTCCCAGCTTTGTCACTGATTTCTGGGTGACCTTGGGCATGTGGCTTTCCCTCTCTGGGTCTGTCTGGTCATCTCTCAAATGGATAATGAAGCCTCTTAGCAGACCTCGCCGCAGGATCTATCTGCTCTCATGCTCAAATGAGATGCTGAATAAGGTGCTTCCTCTAGAGATGGTGCTAAAGAAAGAACTGTCCTGTGACGACTTCTGGTACCAACAGGGCTGGTGGGCATGCTGTCCACTGCGTGGTGCTGGGAGCTGCCCAGTGCCAGAGCCAGAGGACCAGGAGAACAGAGCTCTTTGTTCCCATGGCTGGCTTTGCTACCTCCCAGTCACTTTGCAGGGTAATACATCCCCACACCCCTACACTCCCCACCCTCCAATCCACTGTCTAGGCCTCATGCCCAAAGAAGAGTTGAAGGCATGGGAGCCAACATTTTATTGGAGAAGCCAAAATAAACACAAGTTTTATGAGTACCTTGAAGTTACAGAATTTGCTGGGTCAAGGGATTGGGAAGACCAAGACACTAACCTTAAAATGGGGTGGCCTATGTCCCCTGACCAGATAGGAATGGGAAAGGGAGGAGTTGGCAGAGAAAGTCTAGACTCTGGTCTACCATGGAGCCTAGGCCCAGGCCGCCAGAATCCCACCTTCTCCCACCCCCGTGGGACTAGAGAATTCTGTAGCTTCCATTGGACCATGGAGAGGATGATGGGAGGCCTGAGTTAGGGTGACCTCTGCTATGAGCATCTCATTTGATCTCCACAGGGTCATAGATGTAGCAGCCCACATCACCAATGTTCACACCTGAGGGAGAGAGCCCAATCACCAAGGGCCTTGGGGCTGGGGAGGGTGCTGGGCTGAAGGCTGGAGGGAATTGGGAGGGGTCTGGGGTGTGTTTGACCACAGGGGAAGTTGTCCACACATCCCCCACAGACCCACATGCCATACTTTAGGCCCATTGTCTGGGGTGGGGCTGCCCACCTTTGGGGCCAAACAGGTAGCCATAGCAGGGGATGTGGCAGTAGGGGACGCCGTCATGCTGGGACACAGAGAGAAAGAGAGACGTCTCAGCTTGGCTCTTTTCCCATCTCCAGCCTCCCTCCTCCCAGCATAATCACCCACCCCTGCCCTGCTCACCTCAGCGTGACTCCCAGCAGTCAGGGTCTTCCGGCACCGCTGGCACCTCAGACAGGGTCGGTGCCAATTTCTGCCCAAAGACATCACCTTCTCAGCTGATGGGGGAGAGATGGTAGTTCAAGGGGCAGGGCAGGGAGACCCACTTGCCTTGTACCACCTCCCTGCCCTTTGATGCCCATCCTGCACCCCTCTCTCCTAGCTTTCTGTTGTCACTTACCGAAATAGACGGGTTCCTTACAGCCGGGGCACAGCGAGGTCTCCCCAGTGAACGTCTTCGTGTGGGGAGGGCCTTTAAGGGGAAGAGGCCCCCGCTAGGGCTGAGGTGGAGGCCAGGCCTAAACAGGGCCCATCAGCCCTGCCCTGCATATGGCACTGTCCTCTTCCAAAAGCCATGCTCATCCCAGAGCCTCCCACCCACGTGGACATGAGCCTGCCTTCCTCAGGCAGAGCTGAGTCCCCTCTGACTCCACTTCCTGCCCCATCCCTACCTGCAGGAGGGACCACCTGCTTCCTTCTCATCCTCCCAGGGGCTCAGGTGCCCACCCACCCAACCCCATCAGCAACTCAATCCTCAGGAAACCTGAGCTGATATAGGAGCTGGCCAGGGCAGGGGTGTCAGGTGTTGGGGAGCACAATGTCACTGCCCACTCCAGGGGATGGAGGAAGGAACAGGGAGAGGGGAGAAGTGGAAGAATGTGAGGGGCTGGCCCATCTCAATGACCCCTTACTCTAGGTCCTTCCTTCCATGGCCCTGGCCTGGGAGGGGCCTGAGTTCCAGGCCAGCTTTGCCTCTGACTAGCTGAGTGACTGCACAAGGTCATTTGCCCTCTACAGACCTCAGTTTTCTCACCCATAAAATGGGGGTGATAATGCCACCTGCCCGATTTACCTGTTACTCAGCAGCTGACAGGAGGAAACATCAAAAAAGGGGCCACGGAGAAGAGAAGCCTTTGCCATGAACAAAGTTGTAGGAATGTGAAGCAAAGGACTAGGTGGGATACTGCCACCTGGTCCCCATCCCCTGTTCCATCCTGGGGAAGGGTCAGGAGGAGGAGTAGCCGGGGCTCGATCTCACTTACTTTTCTTGCCCTGGGGGAGGCCAGTCCTGGGCCTGGGGGGGCTGAACCTGCTGGGGCTAAGAGGAGTAGCGCTGGCAGGGGCGGGGGTGGGGGAATTGTAGAGGTAGGAGCCCACACCACCAATGTTCACCCCTGCAGAGAGAAGAGGGGAGGTTAGGCTTGAGCCTCCAGCTCCCAGCCACACGGAGGGTTCTGCTGTCCCCTGGCCCCTTCCAGGCTGGTACTTACCCCTGGGTCCAAAGAGAGCCCCATAGCATGGCTTGTGGCAATACGGCCTTCCGTTGTGCTAGGCACAAGCAGAGGGAAGAGGACTGCTTAGGGCCCAAGGGGGCTCTCCTGTGCCCCACAGGCTTTTCCCCAGGACAGGCTGCCAGGTGTGTCTGTCTACTGGCCTGGGCTGCGGGGGCTGGGAGCAGTGAGGGGTGGGCTGGCATGCCAGGACTGCCACTGTGGTCAGGGAGACAGGGAAAGAGCAGGTCAGGAAAGAGGGGCGCT